CTTATTGAGACCTACAGTAATAAATAGGCAACTGAGCTCAAGAATTTAGTCTTTAGCCTTATTGAGACCTACAGTAATGAATAGGCAACTGAGCTCAAGAATTTAGTCTTTAGCCTTATTGAGACCTACAGTAATAAATAGGCAACTCATCCATGAGTCATTCCAGCGCGCTTCTCCAGCCATTTGCCAGGAATATGGAGTGACTTAAAATAGATTGCCTCTGTTTCCTAGAATATGCATGGGTATCAATAGATAGTCATTGTGTTGGCTAAGAATATGTCGGTATCAATAAATAGATTGGCTTTTGGCTAGCATGTGTGGGTATCAATAAATAAATTGTCTGTATTGGCTAAAATATGTGAGTATCGATAAATATATTGCCTGTGTTGGCTCGAATATTCGGGTATCAATAAATAGATTGCCTCTTTTGGCTATCACGTATCGATAGACAAATGGCTTGCGTATGTTTCAATGTGAGTTGTATTATCAATTAACATATTTCTTGAGTAGGTTCGATTTATTCAATGAATAAACTGCCTGTACGGAGCATGGAAATTGAGTTCTAAAAGTTTTTCTCATAAATATGTGAATTCTCACAAGTTAACAGGTCGCTTGTGTTTATAAGATCGATTGTCCTGAAAAAAATGCATAGCTTGCGTTAGCGCGACTGAGGAATGTTAAAAAAACAGCTCGCCTGATTTGGCAAGAACTAGTGTCTAATAAATGAGCTTACTATGTTGGCGAGACTACAAATTTATAAATGAACGCTTGCATTTGGAAGCTGTAGCTGCGTCTATTACTATATTACTGCAGGTGTGGCAAAAACAGGCAGTGCATTCAATTAAGAATATTTTGTGACGCGCTAGAGCTGGCCTCGCTGTCGACCCTTGTTACAAATCTTGACCGATAGTAAGCATGGAACTCGAAAAGGAAGAACGGAACTCTGAGCTTTAGTGGTAGAATGTAGCGTACTAATATAACCACCATGTGTGACTGCAGCAAAACATATATTCATTCACTACTAGTGTAGCCTCCTACAGACCTCTGCTCTGTCATGCTTATAATACACGACGTTCCACGGCGGTGAAGTTACCATGAGCACATTACAGTGTCTTCACAAGCTGCTCGTTCAGCTTATAAATTATGCGATTCATCCCAAGACTTAGTACAAGCATCTCTACGTTGGCACGTGCGCAAGTACACTTGCATATGTGAGAAACATACTTATGGTTGTAGAATGTCTATCCGCACGATGTTAACGAGTAGTTTGACGTCATGACGTTGCCATGCTAATAAGACTTGTATGTATTCATGTCTTGTGTGATGTGAACACGTTCCTCCCCATGTGCAGTGACGTGCATGTGTATCATTATCATTTGATTGACCTTTGCTGTAGCTCAGACTTTCATACAATACCCTTGCATATTTAACCTCACGTACCCTTTTCATCGTACCTCATTATCACTGACATCTTGCAGTTTTCACTATGGTTTTTGCTGCTACTTACCGTTGCTAACGAAGACGCCACACTCATCGCAGCAACATAATGGCCGCGTTCACTAGCAACTGAGCCATGCAGTGTGCAAGATGGCATTGTGCCTGTCACGGCTGCAGTAATTATTATTAATGGTTTCTGCAGAGTGCAGAAGCAGATGAACGTTTTCAAACCAACTTCAGGAGGTACATTAATCACTCAAAGCGTGCGCTGGCGAAAAATTTCGAATTCGATTAATCTTGCAAACAGCAAAATACGCATTTCGACTTGTCTTTTGATCAACGAATCTCGAAAGATCATAACAGCATCAAACTACGAATCTTCAGTGAGCAGACGAAGGATATTTCCACTGATACCTACATTGAATTATTCAGCAGTATCGTACTATGAATATTTCGACTGCATCAAACAAGAGATCTTTCATCAAGAGATGATTTTTCTTGCCAACAACACCATACAACAGATCCTAAAAACAGCAGCAGCCGTTGCCTTCGAGTAGCTGCGGCGACTGCGGTGGACGCCCAAGGCTGGCGTGCAGCACCATTAATGAGTCCGCTTCCTGCTGCGCTGCTGCACCTCGGGTACCTAATGTACGGCTGCTGCACCTCGGGTACCTAATGGACGGCTGCTGCACCTCGGGTATCTAATGGACGGCTGCTGCACCTCGGGTATCTAATGGACGGCTGCTGCACCTCGGGTCTGTCTCTTATACACATCTAGATGTGTATAAGAGACAGCTGCTGCACCTCGGGTATCTAATGGACGGCTGCTGCACCTCGGGTATCTAATGTACGGCTGCTGCACCTCGCGTACCTAATGGACGGCTGCTGCACCTCTGGCACCTATATAATGGACGGCTGCCCGAACATGCTCCGCTCCGCTCCTAACATCAGAGCTATCGCATTTCTGGTGCCTAAAGTTGCTATAATCCTACAACTGCTCAAAACTGCTGCGCTCAGGCATGTCAGGCTCCCAATTTACAGCTGCTGCAGCTGTTGTGCAAAGCGAATCCGGGCCCCTTCAGCTCACGGTCTATGCTTAACTGCCATCCGGCTGTTTTTTTTTCGTTGACTCAGCTCGATCGGTTCATCGGTTCACTTCTTGTTGGCTAAAAGGCGCTTCATAATGTGCGGTGCGGTTCGGTTCAAGACTTCAAGAACTCCTACGACACTCGTTCAAACAATCTACAAGGGGCAGTTCAGCGCTTTTGTTTATGCGACGCACGAGAAAGTTCGCCGCTGTGGTTCATGTTATGTACAAGAAGCTGTTCACAGGTGTGGTTCTTGTGACACGAGAGGCGATTCGTGGGATGCATAAGGCGGTTCACCGCTGCGTCGACCTTGCGTTTCCGGCGTCGGCCGGTCGGAGATGTTCTCTGAAGGTCACAGCCGCTCGCATTCTTCTCTCGTTTTTTTTATTGTTGCGGTGATTGCATCGACGTTGCCTTGGGATCAGCTCGACTTGTCTTCAATACACCCGCAGTTTCAGCCAACTGACGGTGCATGCCAATCTTGCATTTTAATTTGACCATTCAGGCAATGAAATCAGCCTGAGCATTTCCATTAATTCTTCCTTCAATGTGCTTCTTAGCACATAATTTTTTCAATTTTTCTTTCCTCAGTTTTTTATTCGCACTCATCTATTAGAGAATAGCCTATTAAATTCGATCGCTAGCTTTTAAATTTTGGTAATTCTTCGACCCTGCCCAGGCCATTCTATGTTGCTGCTTCGGGTATTCCCTGGCTTTTTGTCATCTCTCAATGATAGAGTTAGCGTTTTTTCTTCAATCTACTTCTTTTCTCGCTGCTCGCCACGACCGCCTGTCTTTGTTGCACTTGCCTGCAGCCCTGTCGGGGTCCCCGCACCCTCTTCGCTCATCTCGCTTGGCGCGATTTTTCGCTTTTTTCTGCCGCGTCGCAGCCGCCGCCGCCGACGTTGCTGGTCCGTCCATTAACCTCGCGAGTCCCAGCGATGGAAGACGCGAAGCTGCGTGGCGGATACGAGGCTTGGCTACGGCGGGGAGGATGTAAGGATTGCTGCAAATGAGGTTGTATGCAGGGGAGCGCGCGTGGATTTCTTCTAATAAGGTTTGTGGGCGGTGGGAAGGATGTAGGGATTGCTGCAAATGGGGTTGTATGAAGGAGAGCGCGCGTGGATTTCTTCTAATGAGGTTTGTGGGCGGTGGGAAGGATGTAGGGATTGCTGCAAATGGGGTTGTATGCAGGGGAGCGCGCGTGGATTTCTTCTAATAAGGTTTGTGGGCGGTGGGAAGGATGTAGGGATTGCTGCAAATGGGGTTGTATGAAGGAGAGCGCGCGTGGATTTCTTCTAATGAGGTTTGTGGGCGGTGGGAAGGATTCGGGGATTGCGTTTAATGTGATTTGTGTGCAGTGGAGAGGATAGGTAGTGGCTTCATAAGAAGTTCATTTGCGTATTTACATAGGGGTTGGGGTTAAGAGTCTTGTGCTTGGATTGAAAGAGAGGTTTGTAGATGGGAGGAGGGTGTAGAGGTAGGGATTCACGCTCCCAGTCGGGGGTCAGAGAGGGGTCTGGGGAGTAAGAATGCTAAGTGAATAAGAGCTTCTGGGAGCTTCCATTGTTGGGACGATCTAAAGGATTACGGACGCGCAATTCTGTCGGTAAATGTCAGGAAAACTTCTCCGAGTTCAAGGAAAGTGCGGAAATTTTTCAGTGCAGTTTAAGGATATATGTATTCAGCGATAATTAAGGTCATTATTCATTGTACAAATAATAAGCATTATTTGTTACTTCTACCACTGCTGCCACCAGTGTTTTTCTCGTAAAGTTTTTAAAGAAAAATATATATAAGTTTCTAAAATAGGAAAGTTTAATTTTATGAGATCACCTCATTTGTAATTAATTTGCAAGCAAGTCTAATCTTCCAATGCTTTTAATATCTCGCCATCTTATCCAACTTTGTTTATTTTTCTGTCCATACAAAAAAGACGAACCGAGAATTTTTATTTAATTTTTATCTATTAATGACATTTCAAGATTAGGTTGCTGTCTTTTATGTGGTCAACGCAACTGAACTCAAATCTCAAGGTATTGTTCTACCTATGCAATTGACAAGAGTTAAGAAGTTAGCCTATCACTGACGGTTTTTAAAGCTAAGGTTAATTAATTAAAGCTAAGGTTAATTACAGATGATAAATCAACCGCTATGTGTATTTATTGGCTCCTACGTGTACTTTTGCGAATTTTGATAGCACGGCTTCAGAACTCATCTTAACCCTCTACCGCCTGACATGAGTAACCGGAGCAATATTATCACAAGCCTACCCAAAAAGGATACGTTCTAGCGCGCGCAAAATGACTTGCACTGATTGTTGCCGTCACGTACGATAACTTTAAAATGTTCTTTGTTGTTTACAAACGTCATTAGGTTGCCACACTCAATAATTTACGTATAGTTTAAGATGAAAGTTATGTTCCCCGAGAGTGACAAAATGGTTAAATGGCTTACGCTTCAATGGTTACACAGGAGCTTGCACAGCTGATAGAGGAAGCGAACCAGTCGCTGGAGGAGCACATTCGATAGTTTACGTATAATTTAAGATGAAAGTTATTTTCCCTGAGACTGACAGACAAAATACTTAAATGGCTTACGCTTCAATTGTTACACAGGAGCTTGCACAGCTGATAGAGGAAGCGAACCAGTCGCTGGAGGAGCACATTCGATAGTTTACGTATAATTTAAGATGAAAGTTATTTTCCCTGAGACTGACAAAATACTTAAATGGCTTACGCTTCAATTGTTACACAGGAGCTTGCACAGCTGATAGAGGAAGCGAACCAGTCGCTGGAGGAGTCAGGCACGCCGTGTCACGAGATCGTGGTGGTCGTGCTGCACAGAGAGGTCGCGAGTTATGGGTCCGTGGGGCTCACTCTTGCAGGGGGCGCCGACTACGACACCAGGGAGATCTCTGTGAGTGCTCTTCACAAACCTAACATAAGAAATGTTACAGTTACTTAGGCTTAAATATTTTATTATTGGAAATTGCAGTTATCGAAGAATGATTCTGGATGGTGGAAATTAATTACTGTTATTTAAATACTTGGTGTTCAGAGTTAGTGTATGATGTGGACTTCGGTCAGTGTTCAAAATGTGCTGCAACCATTTTTTTATATATATTCGATATGGGAACAGAGGTTAGTTCCAAAGTTTTATATTGTCCTAATCGCTAATGCTTGATTATTTTATATGTATATTATTTCAATCAAACAAAAAATCGCTGTCTAATATGGTACCATCTCGATATTAGATGGCCACTTGTTAGGCGTCGAGGTTCCCTAATGTCTCGATCATGGAAATCTTGGAAGTGCCTGGATATTGTGGGCTATTCGAAAAATAAAAATCATAATAATTATTTTAGGAATGGAAGTACTAAGTTGGCTATCATTTTAGGCTGTTCTATTGTGATGGCGTTCGTCAGTTTTATTGGTTATAGTTAAATTAGTTAGACAAGTTGTGTTGAATCTCAGTGACGAACATGTGGTATTTTGATAGTTTTAGCCATTTTATAATACTTTTTGGTTGTATCATATGGGATTAAGCTTATTCACTTACCCCCACACTCACCATTCCAACAAAAAGGAATTAATTTTATTAATTAAAAACAGGGAATGGTTTCATGTCAATGATCAGGGCCCCGACCTTAACGCCTCTGATGCATGGTGGCCTACAACGACTCCGAGAGTCACTGAGCTGTGACGCGAGTGAGGAGCGGGCCCACGTCTAACTTTTCTCCAACTGCTGTTAGGATGCTGGCTGCATTGCCTCTTTGCACTGCCAAACCCAACCTTTGCTCCAACCATAAAGTCTCTCTGCGTTCACCGGACAATTCCGTTATGCGACGACCAATCTCTGATATTAAAGGACCAGTCGTTTCACCATATGCACCCGTCGTTTCTAATGCGACTGGCTCGAACCGATACCGAGCTGCCAACGCCGCGTATTTACGTCTCTTGCTATCCTCCGCCGCACGAGCAGCGAACCCAGCAGAAATAGCCGAATTATTGACGTGCGACTTCACTTACCTATATGATAACAAGTACCTATGTCAAATAAATGTTGAGGAGTATTTCCTACCTTGTCCAGTTGATCACTCAACCGAGTGTCTTGAATAGCAATTATGAATAGCTAGCAGTCGTCTCAATCATGTTTTAATCTGTAAGAATTCAATTCAATACTGCGACCTGCGCCAGTGTTTATCTGCCTTCGATCCTCTCGACTCCAGCAAGTTCACTTCGTATGTTCGGGACTAATCCTGGCTTGTGAAGTAAATCGAATCCTAATTTAGAATAGATTTGACTTGTACAAAAGCGATTTTTCCGCTGGAACGTTAATGGAGCTACGCGCTATTTACCTTTTTTTCTTTTTTTTAGGTTCACAAGATCATCCCGGGAAGTCTGGCGGACAGGGATGGTCGTATCCAGAGGGGAGACCGCGTCATTTCCATCAATGGGAAGACCCTCCGTGGCGTCACTCACAGGGAGGCCCTTGCTATACTCAAAGTAAGAAAATCCTTATGAAGAATACTTCCATGAAAATTGGAATTTACCTCTCTATTAGAACTTTCTTCCTTCATGTTAGGAGTTCGATTTTTTGTATTCGAAATGATTAATTATAATGAACTCGTAAGGTTCGAAGTATTTTTCTAAACGTTTATTTCAGGAGAACTTTTTTTCAAAAACCGCGGCTACCCATAATGGCATCGATCGTACCATGAGTTGAGCTAAAATTCATAATTAATAGGTGCTTTTAAATGTTCTTGTAATTGACAGCAAATCTTCATGAATGTCTTCTCAATTACTCTTTCATCTCTCTTAATTAATTTCTTAAATTTCGAAGTATTCTGCTTTATACTTAATTTTTTCATTGATATATTCAATTTTTCCAGTCTTCGCTGTTTTAATTTAATCTAATTAATTTAATTTGATAATTTTACCCACTATCACCGAAGCCGTGTTTACATGACATGATGCCTTTTTTTACCTTCTCTTGCACGATTGTATAGCAATTCGAAGTAAGCCGCTCGATGCATTATCATTTCATTCATTTCTATTAAATTATCAGTTTTTAGTGCATTTTCTCATTTATAGAAAAAAATGACGCTATTGTTCTCGTCATGTCCGTCTGTCTGTCCGTCTGTCTGTTCGTCTGTCTGTCCGTGACTTCAAGTTTCCGTCGACGAGAAAATGCGCTCTCTGTCACTCACTGCAGTGAGTACTGCGTTATATTTTTTATATTTGCTGCATTTTGCCCGCAGTCACCGAGGCCTGAAGTTGTGCTGGTGCTGTCGAGGAGTCGCTCTGTAACTCCTCAGGACATCACCAACGCGTCCAGCGGCGCGTATGTCGTCACGGGGGGCGGCGCCCCCGACGGGGAACCCTCCTTCTGCCACCGCCCGGTCTTCATGAACGCTGTCAACCACATTGCTTCCCATAGACCTCCGAAAATTCTCGAGTCACCTATGGACAGCAAGAGTTTAGTCTCAGGTATGTTTTTTAATGCGATCTATTGATCCAATCTGTGCGCATTTCATTCGAAAACGCTAATAAGCCAGTAATTTTTATTACATATTTAGCAGTTTAATCCGATGCTGGATATTGTTAAGAAGAGTCGTGAGGTTAAATGGCATTACGATCCAAAGAGCCACGGGATTCAACAGTGATTTTCACATCGCTATCTTCAGTGAAGTAATTTATTTCTCCCCGGTGCAATTGGTGTCGTGTACTTTTTATGCTGTAAACAATTAATCGAAAATTCTCGTTCCATTTACTACATGGTATTATACCATTGTATTCTATTTCGGTTATGTTCTTCCGTTCTAATGACCCTGACAATGCCTGGATATTGTGCCTGTCGTAGTCCTGCCAGTGCCTGGATATTGTGGCTGTCGTACACTGACAGTGCCTGGATATTGTGCCTGTCGTAGTCCTGACAGTGCCTGGATATTGTGGCTGTCGTAGTCCTGACAGTGCCTGGATATTGTGGCTGTCGTACACTGACAGTGCCTTTGTTTCCAGACGTGCAAATGCCGCCGGTGCCGCGGGGGCCGCCGTTCGCCATCGCGCTCGTGAAGGACGGCGCGGGCCTTGGCTTCTCCCTGGAGGGCGGCAAGGATTCTCCCCTCGGCGACCGCCCTCTCATCGTCAAGAAAATATTCACAGGTTAATATGACTTGTGAATGAGGGACCTGTGAATGCGTGACTTGTGAATGTGGGACCTATGTATGCGGAACATGGGAAGGCATGACTTGTGAATGAGGGACATGTGAATGAAGGAATTATGAATGTGGGACATGTGAATGAGACACCTGTGAATGCGTTATCTGTGAATGCGTTATCTGTAAATGCGCTACCAGAGGAGGCGTGATCATTCCAAAACCACACAAATGGTAACAACCTATGAACTAGAATTAAAATGAACGTGTTGGTGTCGAAATATCGTTATCTTAATATTTTGTATTAATTAAATGTTTGTTTAAATCTCATGGAATAGGAACACTTCGTCAAGCATAAATTTTAGAAGAAAATAATGTCTCGCATAGGAATTTTATGACCTACAACTTGCTTGATAAATATTCTTAATTGTTGTTAGTTATCTTTTGTAACTTATGAAAATATAGTGAAAATGAAAGTTTTTGCTCTTCATGCTCGCATTTTTCGGTGCTTTCCATGCTTTTCTGATTATCCAAAGCATCGTTGTTCACATTACTTTGTTCGCAGGAGGGGCAGCCGACAAGGGAGGCATCCTGCGTGTGGGGGATGAGATCTTGAGCATCAATGCCGTTGACGTGACCATCATGGCGCGTATAGAGGCCTGGAACTTCCTCAAGAAACTCCCGGACGGTAAAGTTAGTCTTGTCATCCGTCAAAAACTTGCTGAAGGAGCTGCGAGTGACCAAGAAAAAATGCCCGAGAAAAGAAACGAAGTCAACGGAGCAAACCGCGAAAAAATTGACAAAGAAAATTTTGATTCAAACAATGTCTGAGTCTAATTCAGTTGATATTGTATTGAAACAATTTAAATGGGCCAAGAATTTAGAGGGCCTGCAATTATACTTTATTGTGATGCCTACGAACTTTTTTGAATCATTCAAGAATAATTCATGGTTTCCTTGTTGGACTTGATAATCTAAATAGTGTATTAAAATATCTTATTTTCTTTTCTGAATAACTAATTTAAAGTGATTAGAAAAAGTCATCCTTATTTGTCATTTAACCGTATTTTAACAAGTAATTAAACACTTATTTTAGTTAGTATTTTTTCCATAGAATGGTGCTAATTTTCATTTGCGAGAAAAGGTCTAAGGGAAAGCAGTTTTTTTCAAATTATATGAAGTCCATAATACCTATATACACTAGTGTTATTTGGCCTAGTATGAAATCACATTATTATTCCCATGAGTTGAGTTGAAATTATCACTACTGTTGACTAATGAGTTGGCGCTATGCTGATTAGTGAGAAGGGCTACGTACATGTCCACAAAAGGAAGACGTACGGCCGCCCATTTTCTGAGAAAAATTATGGCTTGATTTCTCTATATATTCAGTAGCATGATTTTATTTATATTTTAAATTGGGTTTTTGGTAGGCTGTGATTATGTTCACTTATTTCTGTGCTACTATTCTGTTTAATTTGTCGTTTCTCCTTCTGTCCGTATAACTATTATAATATAACAGCAAACGTATTGCACTTCTTTCATTACCGCGAAAATTTGCCTTCTTTATTTTATTTCACTTCGTAAGTATTGCATTATATGATTCTCTAATGGTAATTCATGTACGAGTACTTATAGAAATTGCAATGTACATGAAAATTGGGGCACACAAGGTTTATACATTGGAGACAGAGTGAAAGAAAAATAGTGTTGATTGTCTATTATATCAATTTTCAAATGCTAAATGTCATCGATTATCTGGCTTCTTTGTTATCTTATTCCTAAGTTCCTCTTGATATCCGGACTGTAATATCAAGTCTAGGCTTTGTTTTTTCTATTCACTGTTGACGAATATGGACTACACTTATGTACAGAAATTTTCAAGATTTCCAGACAATTTATTTCTCGTGGTTTAATTGCTAGCATACACATTAGTAACTATCCACACTATCCCTTTAGACATTATTTCAGTGATAATTTGTGTTTATTATCTTTGGTACGGATTGGAAGGGAAGGCGTGTCTTTCTACATTGTGCCCTTGCCTTCGAAGAAATAGTTTAACTAGTACACTGAGATGTCTTTACGTATTAGTTTCAATAAAACCTATAATTATTCCTGCGTTCATGCATAAGCTTTTGGCTTAATGGTGTTTCGGTCCTATGTACTCTAGCTTCCAACGAAGCTCTCTTCGGAACCAGTATTATATATGTATTTGGTCTAGAAGAGATACTCCATTTTATGCTTATATCTTTTACGCTGCTTTAGCTGAAGGCTGTGAAGTGCCTTTTGCCATCAACATCAATTTGTTGCTACTAAATAATGAGTCTTACTTAAACTATGTCATGAAATGTTCATTTTGCATTGTAGTTGTCCATTGTAATTATAATATTTGATATTTTTCTTTATATAAGCTAACATCATATATCAGTCCATTGAACTCCCCGTCCAACAATGAGTCAACTATTCAAGTATCTTCGATCCTTCGTGGTCATTAAAATACTTTCAATCGGTCTATCCTGAACTGCGGTTGAAAGTTGACTATATATTATCAGTATTCATCGAGATATTAGAGTTAATTAGAGACGGTTTCTCGTACACTTAAATCTGTTTTATTAAGTTTGTACATACCTTAATGTGTAGTCGGCTTGTAGGTTGCAAAGCTCCTAAAATTTTGTATTTTATTTTAATCGTTGAGTACCTTTTACGTCTTCCATAGCGTGTATGTCATATCAGTAAAGAATGCGGTGCTTTGAGGGATTAAAGGACTCGATAATATTGTGTGCGTTTTGATACCCGCATAGTTTTCGTGCAAATTTATTAATTCGCTTCCAAATGCAGTCTAGATTGCACCTGGCAGTTAGGTTTGCGTGAATTGTGTTTACGCTAAACGTAACGAAAATCTCGTTGAATTTGAAGTATATTTTAGTTGTTAATGGATATTGGTTTTATAAATCGTTGTGGAAATAAGTTTGTGCGGATTCTAGCTTATTTCACCCTGCATTAGGTTAGAGTGGCCAATTGGTTAAGATCCCCTAGATTGAGCAGCGTGCTGGGCGTTGTGAATTTGTGTGAAATCGCAACTTGTTGTGGAAAATTTTAGTCGATAGAATTCGCGTCTGGCTAACATTGCCTAATCAACTCTGAAAACCCCGATATCGCTTGTATTATTGATGAGGTTCTGTCAAGGCAGATGTAGATAAACTACTATATGCTGACTTTTCACTATATGCCTCTTATTATCTCTTCTTGCCATCATTCATAGCTTCAAGGCTTCAATGTGCTCAATCAAACCATCCATCATTTAGATTAAATTTTTCAGCTAGAATGTCAATTTCCAATGAGAAAAACTATAATTTTCCAGCTATTTGTTGATGTACACAAGTCGCATGCTCCTCTCTGTATTTATTCGAGTAAAACGAAAGATCATTAAAAAAACGAACGCATTTTCGTTTTGAACTACGTAAATGAAAGCTAATTTAGCTCAAATACCCACGAACTTTGTAGCTTCTTCTTGCGAAGAAAATGACACTATCTCTTGGCCCAAAACTATAAGAATTATCAGGTATTGAATAATTGTTAATTGCTAAGAATTGTTCCAGGTACTGAATCGTTATACGCGATTAGCTCGTTTTGCTAGTTGATGTAGACATCAATTAAATATATTATTATCGAATTCTGCTGATCTAAATTTCAAGAACCTCCTGTTAGAGAGGTAAATTTACTTGGTATATCGTTAAAATTTGCGTATTACTAGCTTAGATCTTGGTTATATCTTATTCCCTAACGGCTCGATACAGTTCAACATGCCCCAAGCCAAGGTGCGCGACAACCCTCACAATCAAAGCGAGCTTTCTTCCTTCAATTCCTTGATTGGCAGGATTCAAATTTCAAAAGGAACGACAGCCCAGTGTGTAATCATCAAAAGAACATTTCTTGAATGCTGTAAAACAAGTGCATCTGAATGGAGGCGCTCAAGGTTCCAGAGAAGAAACCACCGTGGTTTGTGAATTCGGCAGATCTATATAGCTGATTACAGGTGTGGTTGAGAACCTTAAGGCCCCGGTTGAAGGTCGCAAGGCTTCTAACAGGCTTGGCTCTTCCCTATGCGTTTCTTCACAAATTAGGATAGACTTTACTCCACTCGCAAATGAGATGGCGATATGGATTTTTCCATGCTTACCCATCTATTTATTTAAGACAGGCTGAGCTTCGGACAGATCAAGGATTTTACACGATGGTCGCGAAAACCTCGCTCTTAGACTTCGCACGGCTTTCAGTCAGGGCCTTAAATTTCTAGCAGTGGATCGTCATAAAGAAAACTAAGTAATAGGTGACTAAACAAAGTAGAACTTAGGTTTTCGCAAATATAAATATTTATAATCGTCAAATTCGTCATGCCACAAAATATACAAAATTTTACTCCCATCTGTGAAACATTTGTGTGTGTTTTATTTCCTAGGAGTGCTAGTAAGTAGTACCCGGTCTTCTAGGATAGGATGACCATGCTTTGAAATATCTACGTTCATTTTTTACCACTCTTTCCCTTTTCATTACTTGTCTCTTCAGTATTCAGGCGCACTGGCAGTGCAGGAAAATTTCATACCAAGTCCATTATTATATTACCATACCTGTCGATAATTTCTCGTAATATAAAAACGTACAACTCATCTGTCGCCGACTCGGTTGAGTACGGCACTACGGCTGCTACGTACGGCAGTTGGCACTGAGATTGTAAGGACAGCCTGAGATTGTACAAGATGAAAGAGGGAGAGTTTTCGATTTGTCTCTTGAACTGGCAAGACGTATAAGACAGTCTAGCGTAAACAATCTGTTTAACAGTTAGCCAAATCTTAAAACAGCTCAATCTTGCCGATTTAAATGAACAAA